TTTTTTTTTTTTTTTTTTTTTTTTTTTGATACTGTTATCGTACATCTCTTGTACAGTCTGTCTCGAGAGTGACACGTTCGCCGTAAGGGGACGACGCCGTCACGGCTCGCATGGAAATTCTCGAAAATTCGCAAACCCGAATGGCAAATCCCGATCTCTCGCGCGGGTTTCCGTGGGAGAGTCAGAGAGAGCCATGACCTGAATTACAAATTTCGTAATTACGCGTAGCCACTGTGGAAGATGTCGCCAAGTTTCTTACCAGCTGCACTAACTGTGACTCGTCTTATGTCGAACGTCTTGTATATTGGGTTTCAAGTAATCCGCGAGGATAAATGCTACGCGATAAGGGAAACACGTGGTAGTTAAATTTTACCAAGACAAATTTTCAAGACTGGTGGAAGAGTTACTGGACAGAAAATTTGCACGTATTTGATATTTCGAAAAAAAGTAACTATACCCGTACATCGATATGGCGCTGAAGGAGACCGAATGTGACGTCATGAAAAAATACTGCATTTCGTAAATTAATTCAAAAATTTCGTATATACGTTTACGTTTGGAGATGAAAAAATCTTTATCGATAATCATTCCAAAATTTTTACTCCAATTGTCACTTTATCGGTTTGCTCGTATTTAACGTACGATATTAAAATATTCAGTATGATTCGGTTCGATGCAAAAGTCGTGAAATTTACCAAATTCGTAACTCGGCTGCTTTATCTTTTTATACGTTCTCACGTTACGATTTTATTCAGGTTTTCGATATTCGATATCGATAAAGAAAAAAAATCGTTCAGTCTATACTCGACGGCGACAATAAAATTTACGGCGATTCGAGAGATTTGTCGAATTTATCAAATTCGCAAACACATGTCGAGTCGCGAATGTCGCGGCCACCGGAAACGGTACGTTTTTGCATTTTCGACCGTACACAGTAACCCAGTTACCGTAGGTTGAAAATATCGGGCGCGCACGATTTAATCAATTGTTTTATAGATATTGCTAATTATATCAATCTAGACGATTTAGCATGAACTGCTCTCCGCGCTGTAAATACGGTTATGAAATCCCAACAGCTATTGAATTTTTCGATAAATTCAATATCGTTCAGTTACGTCGATTCCAATTACTCGAACGCATTCAAAATTCGCGCTCGTGCGATATATGTATTTCGAAAATCCTGGAAACGGACTCTGCCCAGCCGCGCATTGCCCAACGATAATCTCTTACGGTAATCCGAATTAGGTTGTACGCAACATGTACAACGTCCTTAACGATAACAATGCATAAATCGAAATCACTGATAACAGTAATAATTCAAAGCGATAGCAACACAGCAGCCAAGTACGACTCGCCAACCAAACTCAAAATGCACGTTGCGCTAAATAAATAATTTATCGAAGGAATTAACACAAATCATTTTCCCGCGAAATAATTCATGCTGAATCATCTAAAAGTAAAGGAAAAAAAAAAAATTAATAGACCAAAAATAAACAAAAAAACACTATTTCACTCGAACAAATCAATCAAACCTAATCGATATCGCTGATCGATATTTTTTTTTTTTTTATAAACTCCAGTTTTGCAAAACTCCATCTGATAACTTTCCAACTGCTAAACGATATTCGCAGTGATTTTTCGAGTCACGGTCACAAGGCTACTGCCGATCGAGATAACGTTTTGACTTTCCGATTCCCTTGGAGTCGCCGCCATGCTCAGAAACTACGATTTGCTATTGTTGAAAGTGACCTAGGGTTGGTTCTCGGATTTTCTTTATCGGTGTCGAGTTGAGAAAATACGTTACCATGTATATCTAAAACGGGGTAAAGAAAGGCTCACGATTTAGACTTTGCCAAGCGCGACTCTGCGCACCCTACCGATAAAGAGAATTCCCTTTTTCCCGTTTCCAAGAGAGGGACGGACACGGAGGGGAAAAGCATCAAGAACACCTCTGGGAATTCATAGCCAACCGATCATCACCCATCGGAAACGTGAGCGTTATTGGATTTTTGGCTTCCATCGTTATCCTATATCTGGTATCACGTAGCCGATAAAATTATTACCGCGTAAATATCAACCATCCGATACACCATATAGTTACAGGTAGTATACTCTCTCTATATATATACATATATGTACTACCAAATAATATCAGTGGAATAGACTATTTAAAAAAAAATGAATATCAAACCATACATATCCATCCCATATGCATATACCCCGTAGCAAAATTTCCCATTTCCAATGCTCTTTTGCCAAGGGAAATTAATAGTTTTCCATTAATTACCTTTACATTGCCTTGGACCAAAAGCATTGGTAATGGGAAATTTAGCTTATAGTGCCAAATATATTTATCCAAAACTTTGTCTCCGCGAGTCCTCTCTCCTCGAATACATGTATATACTGACTTTTTGTCTTTTATCTTTTTCTTGTATTCTTCTAGCACAGCCAAACGATCATTACGCAGCCGCGGCAATAACTTTCCCTGTACAAGGCGTCCATTACCGTGATTGTTCGCAAGTTTATGGCCGACTGCTGCTACCTGCGACTACCGGCGCTCGCGTCTGCAAGAGGAAACGGTGAAAAACTTCGTCATCCTCGAGCGGTCTTCACTTTCGAAATACGAGGCACGTCAGACGATAGATTATACGGGTGTACGTATCCACGTTTACAGAGGCTACTCCCAAATGGATGGGAACGAGAAAGTTGGTAGAAACAAATAGAAAAGAGTAAGAAAAAAAGTAAGCGTTCGCCCTATGCATTATAACGGGCTGCCCGACTCGTCCCTATATAATTAATTAATAGCCGATAAATTCTATTTATTTATTTTTCCTTCATTCCCAGGGTTCGCCCCACCAGCCTCGTACCCCCACGTTGCGATACGCACGCTGACACTTTAATATACATATACCGCATGGTACTTTCTTAACTCGACCCCGATGACGTAAATTCGAAAAATAGCCCACGTGACCTTCGACCTCAAATTTTTTCCCTGCATCCCAGGCGCCGGCGAGCTTCCCCCAGGAGGCTTCGAAAATTTAGCCAACCTCGATACAGCCGCGGATCATCCGCGCGACTCGGCGCCAGCCGCCGGCTTATTAGTCAGCTGATTGGCAAAAGGACCCCCAAGTTCATTCCCAAGTACTAACGAGCGCAAACGCTACAACTTGGAGCCACGATACAAGGCTACAGAAGGTAGTCGCTCGTACAGGGAACCTACGAATATAGACTTAATACAACCCCTGACACAGGATAAATAGCTGAACTCCAATGGAGTTGGCACTTCCGTGTACACCAATTTCCAGCGTGCAGAATAACCAAACCGCATCGAACCAGCATTTGCTTCGGAGGTCTCGGGTACCAGGTACTCTGTTTATATGTATACGTATAGCTGCCACCTAGTCATTCGATAAGGGTGTCGATGTTCATGCAGGGAGGTAGGCTCCTCCCCATTTCCAAGGCACCCTTTGAAGCTACTGTTGCAACTTTAGAAACTACCCCTATGGTATACCTAGTGCGAGCAATAAGGGTTGGTCGGCTGCCGGCACTTGTTACTTGGATAAGTAATCGATTGTCGAATTTTCAAGGGACCCCCAGGGGTATATATATATATATATATATATATATTTATTTTCAGACGAAACGGTAGAGTGAAAATATTAATGAGAATGAAAAATTGTTCTACAGTCGGCAGAAAAACAAAGGCCAAGTTGAATGGGCGACGCGAGGCATTATTACGCAACGTTGTCTTAATCCCCTTCTTTCTCGTCCT